TATGTCTTTTCATAGTCTCTGAAAGCGTGATATGACAATTTGTTCTGAAAAGAAAGTGAGAGGAAATTTGCAAAATCTCATTATTATGTGTGGAGCATCTCTAAAGGAGTGCCCTCGTTTCTTTCTCATATCAGTAGTTCATCGCAGTCACATAACGACTAGAGCTTGCCACTTTACTCCATAGGCGACGAAAGCGCCGCCGGCCGAACGATGAGGCGCGGTGACCTGTCATCATGCATCACGGGAAGAGCGAGCTGGTGTTGAACGCCACCAATCATGATATGAACATCGGTGCGTTTAAACAGTAGAGAATGCTGGTACATTACCTGTTTAAACAAATGATCGCGAGAATGGAGGTCTTTGTCAATTGACAAAGGACTGATGATGGTTTATGACGCGCATTGTTCACATCAGTAGCATGGGGTCTGTATTGCAAACTACGTTTCTTTCTACCAGAAGAGCCTAACGTTATTGCAAGAACTGAACCAGGGTGACTGGTCGGTGCATGTTTTCATGGAGCGGAACAAACATTCACCTCACGGAAAATCCCGTTGGCTACACCGAAATTCCATGAATGCGCTTAACCGATATTCCTTGAGGTTTAAACGTGAAATCAACGGTTGGACGAATCTGATTGGGCGGTGGACATTCTAGGGACATGTTAACTGTTGACCACATTGCAAAGGTCCAAGTCGGCGGATGGGCATCCGCGGGCTGACGTCGTACGTGGCGGCGCGCCAAGACGAGTGCGCCACGGAAGTAGAGGATCTGACAAATGTGACGCTCGGCGTTGACTTGGACTCGTTTTTGCACTTTGCATGCCGAGAGCTTGTGCACACAATCGATGCGCACTGGTTACTCCTTGGTGGAGACGCCCGCGCGTTGTACGTGTGGGTGCGCGCGTGGATGCGACCTCTGTTTGAACGAAAGATCCGCCTCAAGTTTGTGCGCGACCCACCAGGGATGCTCAATACGATCAAGGACGTCGCTCGCGGCCGGCGGAGAAGCGAAAAAATGGAGAAGTCCAAGAGCGTAGTGCAGGGACTGTACGCACCGCCCACACCATTGTCTCCACAAGGAATCGACGAGGTTTCACCGCTAGCGCCCACAGTGCCTTTGGATCTCGTCCAGTTGACCGAGGAAGCTGCGACCATCCTCATGGAAACCCAGGCGGTGTTTGCGTTTGCGCGCAAAGCATTGGTGAGTCTTCCTCTCTCTGACAGGTGCCTTTTCATGCCCGATGTAGGTCACGTGTCTACAACACGCTGGTTGCTCCATCGTAACGGCGCCTATCGAAGCAGATGAAACCCTCGGCGAACTGGTGCGGTCCAAGACCATCTTCGCCGCCGTCGCGCACGATTCGGACTACTTGATCATGCACAAAGTGCGGTACATTCCGTTTTCGTCGATCCAGGTGGATCCGACGTCCGGGTTTGTCCGGGCTACGGTCTTTGACTCGGACAAATTGGCTGCAGTGTCCGGGTTAGCGCCCGAAAAGCTCGTGGAGTGGGCGATTGTGTGCGGAAACGATTTTACGCCGTACGTGGACGTGCATTTCAACCTCGCAAAGGCGTTGCATTTGCCTGCGCTGCGGCAGTCGCAAGGCAGCTACGACGTCGCCGACGCCCTCGTGTGGTTGCAAGAGCACTTGGGCACGTCCAACTGGCTGGACGACCCTGAGTTCAAGGAGCTTTTGACCCACGACAACGATCTGCTCACGCACGTGTACGGGATTTACTGCTTCTACGGGGTTGGTGGCGCCGTGAAGAAGCGGTTTCCGACAGCTGTGCGGCACGCTGTCCTATCAACCGTGGAGTGGAAGCGCGCCCGGAAGCTGCTCGACAAGGCGATGCTGCCGTCATTTGCGATCGACGTGATGTTTGATCAACGTCGGTCGCTCAGTCATCGGTGGATGTTTGGTGACCTCACGTGGTGCCCGTTGCTGGCCGCGGCGCGCCAGGGCACATATGGCCTCCTCAGACAAACCAACGTCGAAGAATACGTGACATGTGTGTTAACGGGCAACCTCATCACACGACTTGTGACAGCCACCCCCAGCGACGTGGGTTTCGACACAAAGCATGCGAAATCCATTCGAGTCGACCATTTCCAGGCCATGGTACTGTCGTGGGTCGCCGTGGCACCGACCGTGCACACCGCGCTGGCGACCTGGAAACCCCCAAAGAAGCAGGTCGAATTGAAATTTGTCGGGTAAGAAACGACAACACCTCCGCTACGACACCCTTGTCATGCAATAACAACGTTTGTAGGTATGCGTTGGGCATGGTACTGGCAGCATCGGATACATTGAGCTACAACACGTGGACAACTCTCTTGCTGACGTCCGTCGTCAGCATTTGTATCCAAAAGGAATCGAGCCCTAGCATCGCATTTGTCCCGCCCGCGGGGCTGTCGCGGGAGGTCGTGGAGACGGCGTGCCGGTACTTGTCGTCGTTGGAGACGCTCTTTCACGTGTGCGACATCCTAAAGCTGCATACGGACGTCAATTGCCATGCGTTTTACTCTGCGTCGTTGTTTGCGTACTTTTTGAAGACCTCTCTCGTGTCCAAGACAACCGTGCAACGCATGGTGGCGGGTACGAACGAGCTCTCTCATGAAGTTTCCAAGCCTCATGCACTCGACATGGCCAGATCCAGCTCTAGCTTTGACGGAAGAGCAGGTACAGGCGTGCATGTGGAGCTTCCACACGCTGGTGGATTTGTTTGCCAAGGCGTTGCCGCCCACGACTGCCTCATCGTCGCTGTCGCCATCGATGGAGTTGCAGACGGACATCAACGGGAGTGTTGAGGGGACGCGTGATTTGTTAACGCCGGCCGTGATATTACTCAAGAATCCTACAATGGCCAAGAAAGGTGCCAAGAAGTTTGTTAAAAAGGCATCCCGTTCCACCGTTGCATTCCCGACAGAAAAGTTGCGTAAACCCACGGCCATCAACGCTACCGACTCGGACGGCAATTTGCATCCGTTCGAATGGGCAGTCGATGTGAGCCAAACACCGACCGAAAACGTGGCCCCGGCCCCAAAAGATCTCAAACAATTGATCTTTTCGTTGCCAGTGTTCAAGCACAAAGAAGAGATTCTCGACCACGTAGCGACGAACCCGCTGGTTGTGATTCAAGGGGAAACTGGTTGTGGGAAAAGTACGTCGGTGCCGCAATTTTTGCTGGACGCGAACGCCGAGACAGCCAATATTTACGTGACGCAGCCGCGGCGCGTCGCGGCCCTGACCCTGGCGGCCACCGTGGCGAGAATGCGGGGCGAGACGGTGAGGGCTCGTGATTCGCACGATGCTAGCATGGAGCTCTCTCTTATCCCCGACGCGGAGTAGGTTGGCTCTACGATCGGATACCGTGTGGGCCAAATGCAACACGACTCGGACAAGACTCAAATTACTTATGTGACGACGGGGTACATGCTGGAGCGATTGATTCACAACCCCGACAGCGTGAAGGGCGTGACACATTTGATTTTGGACGAAGCGCATGAGCGCAGCATGGACATGGATATGCTGCTCTTGATGGTTGCAACAAATTGGCGGTTGTTTCCAGCCCTGAAACTCGTCATTATGTCGGCGACGATGGATGCATCTATCTTTTTCAAGTATTTCAAACCGGTACGACTCTTGTTTATTTCGTTGGTAAGGCGGCGCATGACGCTGTGTTGCAGGTGCTGCCCGTCCCAATGCAGCACAGCGACGAATTGTTTGTCGGGTCGGCTCTCCACCCTGTCAAAACCGTCTTTCTTGAAGACATGAAGCGCATTCCTGGCCTCAAAGTTGGCAAACTGGCCGAAGCGCTCAACTCTTGGGACAAGTCGATGATGAACGATGTGGAAATGGCACGTCTCCACCGTTCAAATCGATTGCAATTGTCATGACCATTGACTGGCGCGTGCGTAGATGACCAAACAACTGCAGAAGGTGGTGACGGCGCAATTGGATTTGTGTGTCCAAGTGGCTCACACGATTGTGAAATCCCAAGGCGGCTCGGGCTGCATATTGATTTTTGTGTCGGGGCTGGCCGACATTCAGTACCTCCACGAGAAATTTGAGTCGTGGCCCATGATTCAGCTCTTTGTGCTGCACAGCGACATCGAAATGGACGACCAGGCCAAGGCGTTTAAGGTACGAACTCTCTTGATCGTTCGTGTGAGCGCTTCAATTTCACCCACACTCAGGACGTCCAAGGCAAGATGAAAATCATCCTGTCGACGAACATCGCCGAAAGCAGTGTGACGATTCCCGATGTCACGCACATCGTGAACACGGCGCTGGAAAAGCAAATTTTGATGGACAAGACGACCAAGTCGGAGGTTCTCGTGCGGATGTGGTGCTCGAAGGCGTCGGTAAAGCAGCGCTCGGGTGTGTATAATGGCCGTGATCCGTGCGACTCGATGGTGACTCACGAGGGAGTTGTTTACAGGTCGCGCCGGACGTATCCGCCCCGGCGTGGCGTTCCATTTGTTCACCAAGCGCTTTATGGAAACGTGCATGGACGAATACACGACCCCTGAGCTCCTGCGCAAGCCGCTGGACAAGGTCGTGCTCCAAATGAAAGCGCAGATGCAGCACATCGGCACGCCATCGGAGCTGCTTGCCCAGGCCGTGACTCCACCAGACGTGGCGAATATCGACATGGCGTACAAGATGCTGCACACGTTTTCCGCCGTGACATCGCCCCGCGAAGAGGACAGTATTACGTCGTTCGGACTCTTCTCTGTGCATTTCCCCCTGGACATTCGTCTCTGTCGCTTGCTCATGTACGGCTTGACGGCGTGGGAATGGGGCGTCGGGGTGGTGGAAGTCGTCCTCCTTGTTGCGGTGCTTGCGTCACCGGACCTACACCTCGCTCCGTCTCGCTTCCACATTGCGTCGTCGGAAATGTACATGCACGAGATGAAAGCAGTCTTGGCGGTGCGTTGTTCCTGGCGTCATGGTGGTCACAATTGTGTTTGAAACCCACTGAATTGCAGGCGAAGTTGGAGCTCCAAGAAGGCGACGTGCGCAGCGAACCGCTGGCTATCTGGAAACTCATGGTCCAGTGCCTCGCGTGTACGAACAAGGGCCAAGTGGTCGGACTTCTTAAAAAGTTCGCCATCTCGTTTCGCCGATTCCAAACGACGCTGGTGCTTGTGGGTACGAATGCTACGCATGACGGAAAGCAACTAACGTGTCGACGATGGACGGAACAGGGGAGTTATGTGTGCGGTTGATTCGGTTGGCAAAAAAGCCCCCCTACCGCGGCTTGCGTGCCTTACAACCCTCCATGGTGGCCCATCTCGAGCGCCTTCAAAAGTTTAGCGGACGTATGTACTCGTCCGAGCCTTGGACGTATGCCCACGCTCCGCTCCCGATGCTACGATTTTTGCTTGTACTCAACTACCACGACTGCCTCGTACGTCTTTCACTTTGTGTCGAGCGACAGATCTGCCGGTCATGCTGAGATTGATGCTTGATTTGCAGGCGCGAGGACGCTTGCCAGAGAAAAAAGGGAAAGGGGCCAAGGGAGGCAAGGCAAAAAAGGAGAAAATCCAAGGTCCATTGAGTGCGCAACTTGCGATTAAGGTCGATACCACGTGCCAGTGGGGACTGAAAATTCCCCCGGAACACTTCAAATACCTCGTGGAGCCGCTCACACTGGAGCCTGAAGTCCACCACGTGTCGAAGAATCCGAAAGGATTTGATCTGAAGGTTTCGCCTGGGTCGACGCCGTTTCCATTCAGCGTCTCACTGCTCTTTTTCCTTCGCGAAGGCCGCTTCCCCGTGGATTTACCCGTGTTGCCGCTGTGGTTACCGGCGCCGGGCGACCCCGATGCCCTCCGCATCCGCTTTAACGACTTGAATGTCGGTGGACTCATTCGATGGCAGCAAACCCCAAGTGAAAAGAACTTGATCGTGAGCGGACGCAGTGTGTTTGCCTTGCCGCAATTGAAGCTGGACAAAAAGATGATTGTCGGCGTTTTTGCCGAGCAGTTGCTCACGGGCGATGGGTCGACCCTCATGGGAGGATGCTGCACACTCTTGCCGCCACACGTGGACTCGTACTATCCAGTTGGTACGTTCCCGTTGGTCATTGTTTAGAAATGATGAAAGTGTGCACGGAGTTGATGGCCTCGTGCGCGGAAGCTCGCCGTAGCCGCGTTGAGCGTCGGATCATACAAGTTTTGACCTGATTTACCTTGTAGTGATGCTGATCACGACCAAATGCGATGTGTGGCTTTACATGGACGGCAGCCGCAAATTCTGGACGCAAGCCAAGATCGATGGGGTGAATTACGTGATTGAGGAGAGTCGCTGTGTGCCATTGCAGCCGACGTTGAAGATCATCAACACGGTGCGCACCGAGCTGTCGCGGGGCCTCGTCGACGCGCTGCTGACCACCGACAACAAGAAAGACGATGCGACGATCACAAGCTCGGACATGGATGCCCTTTTTGAGACGCGCCACAAGAAACTCAACGGCATGAAGTGGGTTCGCGTGACGCTTGACGTGACCAACGACGTCCCATTCCCCCCGTTTGATGTGGAATGATGTGGGCTTACCACACGAAGGGTGCGTGCGAAGCTGGCGCTGTCGTCGGCACATGCCGCTCTTCGATTCCAACTTTGACAAAGTCGTGTACGATAATCGAACGGTCAATGGAATAGGCTCGAGTCGTACTCTCGATGCACTGGGTTGTGAAAAGTGTTGAGAGATCGATGGATGTGCCCCTCAACCGACCACTCGCTGCCAAAAGTCGTGCGATAATTGCTCGTAATGCGATCTTTGAGCAGACCAACAAAAGTCGAGACAGTGACTGCTGGCGGGCAACCACCTTTCGCGACATCATTGTACTCGTTCTAGCAAGGAGCAAGCGTCCGCATCCTACAAGGACAAATGCTTCACAGTCGCCGCTGCCATCCCTGACCCACACTCCCTGAAAGTTTCATCGCATTTTAATTCGTGCCTAAGCATGGATGATGGCGGCCTCGAGCCCGTGTTGGCCACGTCGTGATCAAAGCTCACCGCGACCCCATGTTGCTTCGCTGGTACACTTCCTTTGCAACGCCTTTGGGCAAATACCCCTGTAACTTGGCTGCGTGTTCTTCCAGCAGCCGCCGCTTGGCCTCTTCGACAACGGCCTTCTTGAATGCGTCTTCGTCCGCCACGCGCGCCGCTTCGACCCGTTCCTTTTCGAGCTCGTGGCGGTACATGGCTTGTTTTTGCTGGTTCTGCGCCACGATGGCCTGCTTGTATTCCTCCTTCTGTTTGCGTCGAAAGATTTCGAGCTCCATCTCGCGCCGTTCCTCGGACGCAAACTTGCGCTTGAGGAACTCGTTGTACTCGTCTTCTTTGCGCTTCTGTTCCGCCAGCAACTGCGCCTTGAGTGCCTGCTGCTGGTCGTTGGACCGCATCATGTCCTACCAAACGCGTGAAATACCAGCATTCCAGGTCGCCACGAGGCGCAGTCGGATCGATCGAACCTCCTTGTCTGCTTGCTTCTTCTGCGCCCGCTCGCGCTCTTTCTGTCGCCGCGCTTCCAGCACTTCTTCTTCCCACAGCTCATCCCGCAGCCGCGCAAACTCTTCTTCTTCCTTCCGCTGGCGCTGAATTTCTGCTTCGACGGCCAAAAACATCTCTTCCTCGCGCTTCTTCTTCTCGGCCAACTTTTCCTTGATCCCGGCCTCGCGAAGCTACAGGCAAGTCATCGTTTGGTTCAATCGAGTGGCCTTCTCTCATGTGTCGGTCGAAATGATCCCAAGCCACACGGACGAGTCTCGATGCACACGCCATCACCGCATTCTCCACGCATATGCTTTCAAACGCATAATTACGGCAACAATTGTCGCCGCCAATTTGCCGAGTTGGAGACGTCGGGACACACATCACGCCGCGCACATGCAACACCCCGCGGTACGCGCAAACAGCGTACGAAAAAGAAGTTGGATGAGCTGAAGGATCAAATCGAATGCTTGGATGAGCGATACAGACATGGACAAGCAGTGTTCGCACAGCGCAATCGTTGAAGAAGGGGTGCGTGCGAGCAGTACCTCGACGTGCTTGCCATGCTGTAGAATTCGCAAATCTTCTTCCTTCTCGCGTCGAAGTTGATCTTCTTTCTCCTACACAGCCACGTTTATCCATCCGGTCGATGCTCCCGCCCCGCAACGCCGTAGTGAAGTTGTATACCTTGGCACGTTGGAGCTTGCAGTCGTCGATGAGCTTCTTCGTCTCCAAGACATACCTGCACTGTGTCGTGAAGCAAGCGCCGACAGGTATCAATGTCCTTACCGCTCGCGCTTTTCTTGCTCCCATCGATCTTCCTCCTCGATCTTCTTCATGATCGCGTCGACTTTTTGCTTGTCCAGCTCGGCCTCCCGCGCTGCTTCTTCGTGCAACTTGAGGCGGTCCATCATCTGCTGCTGGATACTCTGTTTGGACGCGACGGCCTCTACACGCTTGCCAAAGTCCTTGGCAGCCATGTCGACGAGCGATCGTTGTCGATCATACTCCATCTGTGCTTCAATGGCCTTTTCGCGGGCCTGTTCGATCTGGCTGAGTGTCTCTCGCTCGGCTTGCTGCACGGCACGCTCTTTGTTGACGTATGCGATTTTAAGCATGCTTTCGAGTTCGCGGAGCTCTTCGCTCGACTCGCAGATGCGTTGGATCTCGCGCTCTTTGCGCTCTTGCATGCGCCGCTCTTCTTCGAGCGCCTTGGCGATGAAATCGTTCTGCTCACGCGTCCTCTGGCTCCGGATGGCGTCGCGCTCGATAGCAATCGATCGCTCTTCCAACATGGCCTCGGCATTTCGCTGGAACGCTTGGTTATTGCGTCGTTTTGCCAGCACTCCAATGTCACTCTTGTTTGCCATCGTCTGCTGCTGGTTACTCGACGCATACCGTGTGAGTTCGGCGTTTTCTGCCTCCTTGGCCCGGCGGTCGGCCATCGTCTTCTCGACCTGGCGAGTTGTCATGCGCTGCATCATGGTGCGATGGCCCACGATACGACTGCTGCTGCTGCTGCTGCAACTTGTTGTCCGGCGTCCTCCGCGGCTTTCTGGTATTTTTAGGGCAGGGACGAATCGCAGACGTTTCACGAGTTTTCGAAACTCAACGTGTTTTTAAAATTCGTTCGAAACCATTTCAAACGTCTTGTAAACCCACACTTGAGAAGCTGGCTGGTGCTTGCGCAAAGCGGATTCGCGCAGAGCCAACCCCCCCCTCTTCGAACATCCCCCACACACGACCTGCCACGTTTCTTCATTGCGTACGAATCTCACCTTGGATGGATTGTCCTATTTTATAGCCCTCCAGTAACCCCCCATGGAATTTTGGACTTGCCAGGTGCACGCAGCAGGAATTCACGGCGGAACCCCTCCATGTAGTGTTCCCCCCCTTGTATGGCTTGTATGGATGTGCCACACAAACACTGACGTCGTTGTGTTGGGACGCTTTGGCAATAAATCGATGCAGGATGCGTAGCAAAAGCGATGGAAAGTTCCTCGCAATAACGTCGCGTTGCGACTGGGAGTCTAGGCAGGAGGGGTGCATCCGCGGGCACCCCGTCAGGATCTTTGCCCAGGGCGAGAGATTTGGTGGATGTTGCCACGAACACAGTAGTTCCATTGGGATCAAAACGTTTTGAAAACAGCGATTGGATTGGCTAAAAAAGTTGATCGTGGCGTAAATTCCGCCACCAATCAATCGAATCCGACACCACGACAACCAACTCGTGCAATCCAGTCGAAGATGGTGCTCGAGGTCGCCGCCGTCGACCGCTTCTTTTGCGGTGTGATGGAGCTGATCCCGCCGGCCCACTACTTTCCTACTGAGCCAGAGGACAACTTTAAGCAGAGCGTCAACAAAAAGTATCACAAGAACGTCAAGGCGCTCGCGGCTGCCGTCGACGACGACCTCGTCGACTCGAAACACGTTGGCAAGCGGCTCAAGTTCAACCCCAAGCTCCAGCTGACCAACGAAGCGCAGCAGGTCCATGAAAAGGAAAAGGAGGCGAAGCAAGTCGCCGCAGCAACGCAGGAACAGGACGACGACAATGCCGATGATGAAACGGACCTCACCGGACTCGACGGCCTTCGCAAGCGACTCGCCAAGCGCATTGAAACGATGCGCGTCAAGCGACAGTCGGCCAAAGAGCACAAGAAGCCGTCCAAGAAGGAACACAGCACCAATGGTAGGCACCTCCGCTTCCTGGTTCCTTCGCTCCGATCTTATTGTCCCCCCTCTCTCGTCATGCGTCCGCACGTCCTCACTCACGTGTCCTTGACGTTGTAGACAAGGCCGCACCAACAAAGAAGCGGAAGCCGCCGACATTGCAAGATAAGTCGCAGCACAAGAAGGCCAAGGTAAATGAAGCTGTCAACGCTGCAGCCGAAAGCTCGGGAACCCCTGCATCGAACACGACCGACACGGCGATTGCCACTAAATCCGTGGAAGAGAGCATTTCATACGGCAGTTTGTTGGTCGGAAAGGAGAAGAAGGAAGAGGCGAAGACCCGCAATGGACGAAGTCTGGCCAATATTCAGAACCTGCTAAAGAAGGCCGAAGCGAAGAAGGCGCGCATGGAGGAGCTCAAAAAGACGGAGGAAGGGCGAGCAGTTGTTGCCGCCAAGGGATGGGAGAAAGCGCTCAAGCAAGCACAGGGCGACAAAGTGCTGGACGACCCCAAGCTGCTGCGCAACAAGCTCAAGAAGAAGCTGAAGCAAAAAGACAAGAGCTCCAAGGAATGGTAGGTCGGGTCGTGTGCAGGAGCGGTGCAGGCTCATGCTGGTGCTCAGGAAACAACGTGTGTCGACGGAAAAGAAGGCAATGAAAGAACGAGCCAAGACCAAGGCGACGAACGCTCGCACGGGCAAGAAAGTGCTCCGAGCCAAGGCAGCCGAGGCCCGCGCACAGAAGATTGCGGCCGGCAAGCCAAAGCAGAACGTAAAGCTCCTTCAATCATCGTGTTTGAGGTCTGACGATGACGTGTGTAGCGAGCGGGGTTCGAGGGCAAGAAGGGCGAAGCGTTCTTGAATGCCAAGAAATAGTGAATGTAGAACCATTTAACGAGAAAACGTGTCGACGAAAATGCTCGTGGGTCGCCACCCTCCAGCTTGCGTGCTGTCTGCGCTACGGGCCGGACCAAGTCCACCCTGGTTGTCCTGTCTGTTCCATTAATCTCGCTGCGCGACCACGTTGCTCGAGTATGCATTTGTCTGGTCGTGCGGACCACTGGCTAGGATGGTGCTGACCCCGACGAACTTGGAAGAGATCAACACAAGGACGACGTATATGGAAGAACACATGTTAACTTATGAAGTGGTGAACACATGTGGGACGCGGCAGGAGTCGCACACAAGATGATACATGCCGACGAGTTGTCGTCGGAGAGAGGTGATTTTCTTTATGGAATCGATCGAGGGTGAACATTATTGTATCACACATCCTCCGCCACCTTGCGCCGCGGCCTGCCACACATTTGGCGACTCATTGTCGCCCAAGAAGGGGTCGGGTGTCGTGTTGCAGTACTCGGAGACTCTATCCAGCGCACACGTGAGCACGCAAATGAGTCGATCCGTACGTACTTTTTCGCGGCTTCTGACGTCGTGATGGCCGCTTCGAGGGCCTTGAGGTCCAACTCCAACCGTTCGATCTCGTCCGTGAGCTTCTTTACCTGCGCGTCGGCCATCTTCTACCACCCGGCGGCTGCACTTGCCTCTTCTTTATCGCGAATGAGAACCCCAACCGACACCGGAAGTTTCGGCGATCTATTTCCGCTCGCCACCTTACGAAACGCACGTGTCGAAACCACTCGATTTCATATATGATTGGATGAAATCATCGGATACAGCCAATCCGATGCCGTTGATTTTGCAAAAATACACTATTTCAGGGTTGACCCATAGATTCACACTATTTTCAGGTAGTCCTTTGCGTCAGTTACGATCGAAGGGGCGGCGAGTCGGAAGCGGCGCTTTTTTCGACATGAGAGAGCACATCGCCCCAGGAGCTCATAGATGGCATATAGCAGCAAGAGACGATGGAGGAGCATGAGGTGCGGTGGTCGTCCATGTGTGTTCACCGGCATATCATGCAAGAGATTCCGTCCATGTTGCACAAGGTCCACAGTGGCGGCGTGTCATGGTAGGCGCAAGCATAGCCCGTGCCATGGAGAACGAGAAAAGTGGCATTCATGCATGGACTTGAGCTATGGGATCCCCTGGAGCTCTCGAATGATGAGAAGGATTCGAGGCGGAATCCCTTGTACGCACGCCTAGTAATCACGTAGTCTATGTACCACCAAGGTGCTGCACGGATGCGCGAACTGGAAGATTGCCTCAGTTGATGCCGTTGGCTCCAACGATGCTCTCGCGCCACCATGGTGTTCCAGAATTCCTGTTAAAGTTGAAGCTATACATGTATGCGTGCACTGAAGCAAGATTCATACGTAGACATCCCAAGTAAAATCTCCGCCGTCAACGCGGACGTGTACACAATCCACGAGTGTGTTGCGATCCTCTGCGTGATTCAAACGTCACTTTATCTGTTGCTTGGTCGTGTAGGGGTTGCGTGCGCGCCCCGGCACACGCAAGTTGGTTGCGAGCCAAAAGGAGAAGCACTGGCCAACGCCTTCCATCACTTGAGCACAATCTCGTGGCTTCACGAGGGGAGTATACTGGCATTTAGCGCCACACCATTCGTTACAAGATCGAATCGCACGGACATTTGGTTCAGAGCATCGTACAATTACAGCAAGACCATGGCTCAATTGGACAACGAGGGCATATGACGCAGGTATATTTTTTGGCGAACGAAACACTGACTGGCGCAACGACGGGCACGCCACGTCTTACACGGTGAACGATTTGGAAGCTTTCATCACGTTCTTCGAGTCGAGGCGGACGGACGGGGTGGAGAACTGCACTGTCACGGACCACGACGAGCTCTTGGACTGCACTGTGGCCGTGTCGACGGCAAATTTGTTTTTGAATTTTGCCACTTCCTTGCCGTTGTTGAACCACGAGACGGTATACTTTTCGGCAGCGGCGAGGGCTGGATTGGACTGGACAAACGGGTCCGTGGGGACGCGCAACTGAGCAAGCGGGATCAGTTGCAGCGCGACCTTTTTCCCCGTCACGGCCACGTTGTCGATGAACGACACGCGGCTGAGGAACTGCTGCCACATGTTCTCTTGGCACGGACTGCAAAAGTGCGTCGACGTCATGTTTCGCATCAAACACTTTTCGTTGTTGGGGCGCACAGTCTTGACCTTGTTGATGTCGTACGTTGGGTAGATACCAATGTACTCGTTGTCTTGGTGGTACTCGTTCTCGCCAGCGTACTCGGAGATCTCGGCATTGCACAGCTGCTTGATGATGGGACCCGAGAAGGATCCGCCAGCTTTGACCACGAGCTTGTGCGCGCCGGCCGAGAACCCCGTGTTGCTGGTCCACGTGTAAAACGTGCGGTCCTTGAGGCCCTGCGTCTTCCACGCGAGCGGTTTGCCGTCCAGCGTCACCGACAGCGAATCCTGCGTATCGGCGCCCGACACGGATAGGATGATGTACCATCGCTTGAACCCGCCCGTCGACTTGAAGTCCATAGTGTACGCGCCGTTCTTGAGGTCGTACCAAATGTGCTTTTGGTACAGCTGGGCCCACTTTTGCTCGGTCAGCTTGTTTGGTTCGGTAAGCCAGTGCTTCCACGTGATGGCCGACGCCGACTGCGCCGAGTTGGCGCCGCTGTACACTTGGCCGCCGTCGTATTCTTCGCCGACTTTGCCAAAGTTGTGGCCCATCTCGTGGCGCAGCACCATCGTCCCTGACGTCGGCGACCGCGTTGAAATGACAAATTCGCCACCCAATCCCCCATAAAAGTCGTCGTTCGCGATCAACGAAGGAAAGTCGCATGCGTTTGTCCCGGTCTGCGCGCACACACTGCGCGCAACGGTCGGCTTGCTCGTGTACACAGCGCGCAGCTCGGTGCCGTCCCGGTACAAACCAAACGCGGTGTCACGAGGCTTGCCACCGACACCAATGCCCGACTGGGCGGACGGCACGAACGATGCCCAGATGTTAAACAACGGCAGGTACTGGGCGAACGTGTCGCCCGTGAACATGTCGTTGGTCAAGCGCTTCATGTCACCAAAGAACTTGGATTCCTCGGCGGCGGTGTACCCATCGCCCATGAAAACCACGTCGATGCGGTTCTTCGGGTCGCCCGAGTCGACAATCTTACGGATCGACGCGGCTTGGACCGCCGCTTCTCGGAGGTTCTTGCTCTGGACACCGTTTGGGCACAGTTCGGCGACTCGGGCTTCGACGGCGGCTTCGCTTCCCCCCAGTACCTCGATAAAGAGTTCCGTTCCGAGCGGCTCGGCCGCTTGGACTTCCTCCAGGGACGCTTTGTTCTGACGAGGCGTGACTTCGTCGAGGGTATCGTTGGGACCTTCGATCCCACGGTGGAGCTGCGTGACCCCCAGCGGCTTGATCACTTCACACGACCCGTGGGCGGCATTGGACAACACCTTGAGCGAATACGTCGCGTCTTGGGCTGCGACGGACGCGACCGCAACAACAGCGAGGAACAGCTTCATGCTTGGAAGGAAATGAAACAATGGGGGCTTTGTTCCACCCACACTTGGGTCTTGTTCGTGGCGCATCGTACTACTGACCAGCACCCCCACCTCTTCATCTGACTTTCCTACTCAGAGGGCGTCCGTCACCCAGAACCGGTACGTACACTGCGCACGGCATCGTGAGCCACACAGGCCTCGAACCGTGCACCACGTCACGAACGCAGGACCTTGTCCCTATACCTCACCGCATCCATTGCAAGTTGGTACAGAGCGGCAGGAATGTAGGCGACCCCACACCGGCCGACCAAACATGTACAGTTGCCAGTCGTTGGTTTGTTGCGGAGGCACCCATACCACACCCTATACCGTGCTTCGTTTGCAACATGACGAGCGCCTGGGGTCCGTCGTGCAGGATCTGAGTTCGGGGGCTTCGCCTAACTCAGCCGTGCGCGTCTTGGTCTTGCCGTAGCCAAGAGAAATGGTGGTTCTAACTGATATGTCCAGTGCGTGCATGGCTCTGGTCAAGAGGCCACCGAAGGATGCTTTGGAGATATTGCCCTAAGACGAATGCTCGTCAACTTCGGCATACTATGTTGCGGACGACCTTGCCATCCTTCGAGAAAGAAATTCGTTTTTTTTTTTCAAAAATTCCACGAGGTCCATCATGAGTCGAATGGACGACACATCCATTCTGTCGTCTTTGCCTCACCGTCAACGACAGTCTCGATTGACGACGTCCTTTGGTTTCGTTGCGAGATTATGGCAAACATGGACAAAGATTTCGATTTTGATAGAACGTTGAGGTGCATCGCACACGTCAACAGCTCCTCGACCGACGTGGGAGATATGTCATGTCCTGTGTGCGCAAAATCTCCCCGTAGACATGGACGCAAGAATCCGTTTGTCAATGCATGTGACGTCCAGACAATATCCATGTTGCATCATTTGAATCATGTCCATTTGATCCGTGCAATATGCAGTGCATGTCACCCAAGAATCTATTGAAGCAGGAATTCGTAGTACTTTCTCATAAATTCGGGATAAACTAGTAGTACAGTGATCCAGAGCGTTTGCACACTGGTATAAATTTATACCCCGTGAAAAGTAACTTGATATAAAGTTCTTGGGGGCCTTTGACATGGTTGTATTCGAATTGTGTTACGTCAACTACGATTCGGAACTGTTGGGCCCACACCAGAATCGTATCTTTTGTCGCCCCTGAGGATCAAACTGTCCACACCAACGCCAGCTTTGGCCATTCAATTCAGCGTGTGCTCCACTGACTGATGCATCTATCCAGTTGCCTTTAAAAATCAATTTTTGTGTTTTCTTTGTACCGTTGTCATCCTGGAAGAGTTTATATTTGGATAAAAGTACAAACGTTGCGGGATCACTTGTACTTCAAAGAACATACTACTAGTAGTATTAAACTTGAATGCGCAACTTACGAGAAATACGTGGGAGAAATCTTGAGCGATCTTGAAGCGTCACACTAATCGTGCTTTTGCAATGTTTACGCCTCAGCGACCAAAGACGTCTGGAAGAGGGGATGTTGCTCAACGAGAACCTAAACAAGCCCGGCCAGCCACGACACCGAGCGTGTCTGGATGGGTCGCGAGTGTTGATCGCGAGAACAAAGACTACGCTTGCTTTGGTAAGGTAGTTCCTGCCAAAATCGCCGCCCGTCATAGTCTCTGGTACAGTCGAGTACTTTGAGACGCAGCTAGAACACGCCATCAGGTCGTCCGAGCACCAAGGCAACCCGAATGGGTTTCGTACCTCTGTTGGTTTCGAGCTGCTGGGTACGTCGTCGTCGGTGTGCTCCATGTCGCAATGGGGCCATTGATGCGCCCCACGTATAGATATGATCGGTCGGCAATTCAATCGCTACGACAACTTACTTCGCACTATCGTCCGCGAGTGCGAAAAAAGCGTCTACGTCAACCCCGATGCACTGCGCACGCAACGAGGAACGCCGCTCAAGGCCAGTGATTACTTTGCGCTGCAGCCGTACTTCGTCGAGCTGCATGTACAGCGAACAGCCCAACAAGCGGTAGACAATGACATGTATGTCACGTCGACTATACATCGTCCATGACGTCGAATCTAGCGCCAAGTTGGACGGGCGGCACCAGTTTATGATGGGGCAACTCTCCACGAAAGAAAACGTTCTCGAAAGAACCTCGCAGCGCTGGGCCCGAACGATCTTGTTGCAGGTACAGATGGTCACTCGGCATCAAACACAGATTACGACAGACCGCGAATTTTGCCCACCAGGCCTTTCGAACGTGGAATCGAATCACGCAAGCAAAGCTAAAAGTGCGCGCTTCGATGCACAAAGCCATGGCTCGCTGGAAGAAACGGTAAGTCACATGTCGACCCAAGCGAGTCTCAAGTGGCTTTTAACTATGAATCAGGCACTGTACGATTCTCCTTCGGGCATGGCGGCAGGCTGTGGTGTCGGAAAAGCAGACCGCCGCAAGAAAGCGGCTATCTACCCTCACCAACAACGCAGGCGATTGCAAAGAGTCGCAGCTTCGGCTGGAAGGATCAATCAAGCAGCTTCGCGACGACATTGCGAACCTCAAGGGCTCCATTGAAAGCCACACGCTGACGCAAGATCGTCTCCGCTTCACATTTGCCGACTGTACGACAAACACCAACAATCACCTCGACACGAAGTTACATGAGGTATCTGTTTTATAGTAAAGGAACAAATATGGCACAGCCAAGAACGACAGCTTCAAACCTTGTCGAACGAGTGGGGCCGTTTGTGCATGGCTCTCGTCGATGCCGAAATCACGTACTTGAGCTACATGCTCGCAGCAGTCGACCTGAAAGACTATTGCGAGCCCACGATGATGCTTCGACCGCGAGAAGACAAACTGGAGTTACTGCGCGCCCCCGAAGACGTGATTGTGCTGCGGTGGGCTAGCTGTATGTTTCACCGTCACATCCAGTACAACGAAGACCGCGGGAGTGGAGCGAGCAAGGGAACGTCGTCGAAAACGTCGTCGTTGAATGCCGCTGCCACGTCTGACGCGGAATACTCTCGAGTTCAAAACTTTACGTCCGATCTAAAGGTATCACTCTGCCACTCGTGCTTCATGGCCACACACGATAGTGGACACATGATGTAGGGAATGCTCGTGCTGGGATCAATCTTGCGCGTGATCAATCGATCGGTGAATCAATTACCCCACGCACACTCCGCCGTCAGCGACGATTCGGCCAAGGAGTGGTCTCCAGAACAAATCCTCCACTACTTGCGCGTGCTGCGGTGCCCAGACTACCTCGTGCAGCACCTCGAAGCCCACCTCGATGTAAGACCTGTGTGCTTTTTGACATGGTTGTGGAAGTGTGATGATGGGAGCTGCGGTGGTTGCTGCAGAATCCGTCGGCCGATATCATGTACTGCGTGCTAAGCTATCTCTGTTGCGAATACACGTGCATGGTTCCTGCAGTCTGCCCATGGCAAGAAGCGCTGCAGTCGCTGCACGACGCCAAAGCGGCATGGGACAACGTTCGCAAGGTACGACATGATCTTTCCTCTCGATATCATGGCACTATGGGAAGTATGGCGGCACGATGTCGCATGCTTTCATCTGCTTGCGTTTTCATGCTCTCATTCGACGTGCACAGGGCTGGTCGGAACTCGATACTCCGTTCGACGTGACCAAGCTGGACCGATTTGAGCCCGACTCGACCCATGTAACCGTGGTGGCTGTGGCCAAGGAGTCGTTGCAAAACGCTGTGCAAATGGTACAATATGGTAATGGGTCAAGCGTTCGTGTGTAGTTCGGCACATTTTCTGAGCTGTGTGGCGTAGCGTGTGCCGCCCGCGCAGCCAACATGCAACTATGGTCGTGCGTCCAGAAACGCGTGCATGTAAAAGCGATCGAGACAATCCTCCATCGGGCACGCGTCGGCCTTCCCTTCCAAATGATGAACCGGCGCGAGGCTAGAGAGCGCGCCATGTATACCAACGTGAGCATCTCCAAGTTGTCCAAGATCTTGGACGTCGATGCGTCGGCCGAAGCTTCCAAGTTGGAGGCGATCTTGTCCGATCAGTATGGTACTGTTTGATCCCAACCTCGCTCTGAGCTTGCCTGATTTGTCGATCTGACGAAGTTTGACCGTATCGTGCTTTTCCAGAGGACGTCCAGCGCATCTTCAAGTATTACGCTGCGAGTGACGTCGGCGATGCTTGCAGCATGTCCCTGGATGAGTTCCACCGCTTTCTCAAAGACTGCAAGTTGTTAGCCAAACCGCTTGGCCTTGCCTATGTGAAGAAGATCTTTAACGAGATCAACGAAGTCGACGAATCGACGGCTCTGGAGGAAGATGCTGCCGAGAACGACGACAGCGAAGAGGTGGTGTGTCGAGATGGCGGCACGCATCCGTCTGACGCAAGTCGCGGTTTTTTAATGCAGGGGGAACTCGAATTTGGCCCGACCGAATTCGTCGAGGCGATTGTTTGTGTGGCCGACAAGCGGCTCGGCACCCACAAAGGTAAGTTTGGCTGCACGCTGCTTGCTTTAAACTAGTTTCGGGGATGGTGGCCAGGGCTGAGTCTAAGCCAGCGCGTGAAGAAGTGTCTGGTCGAATACGTCCTAGCAAACGCGTGTCGATCGTCCACGGATGCCTTTCGCCATCGCATGAATACGACTGAGTGCAAGACTGTCTTCCATACGTACCAGGGAAAGCTCGAGCACATTTACCGACGATATGCCGCCCAATCGAGCAGCCTCAACGCGCACGACTTTATTTCGCTCCTGGAGGTACCCCTCACATTCGTTTGCGCCGCAGCATTGATGACCCAACTGACGTGGTCGCCAGGCCCACGACTTGTTTACTGACGTGCTGACGGTGGCCGATGTTAAGCACGTATTGTTCAAGATCCAGCAGGAAAGCGACGATGCATCCGATGCGGGGGCCGGTGCCATCCCCAGTCAGGACTTGGAGGTACGTACAGCTCCAGCTACCGTGGATGCGCGCGATGGAGGTATAAACAAGTTGGCTGTGGTGTGTTGCTGTAGCTGACGTTCACGGAATTCTGCGAAGTACGACTGCCCCACCAGCCAAGCCGCTGAGTACAATTGTAGGCACTGGGGGCAATTGCGTTGTATTTGAACCCAGATATCTTTGTGCCAATACACAGTCGAGTCGACGACTTTATGGCCAAACTCGTCAAGGTTGTCGACGCAGGAACCAAGGAATAAAGTGCATGGGCAAGCCTAGACAAACGCCCACTGTCACCACTATCCCACCGACGTATTGCGGAGTTGCCACGCGAAGTTTGGACTTGCGATGTGGCTTGTATCTACGGTAAGAAGTCGAAATGATTCGTTTATGCATTTCCACTCAAACACGTCGCACGATGCAGACAGTTTGATTGGGTCAGCTCGACTCACCAGAACCGCGTAAATTCAATTCAACGTCAGCCCTTTGAGTTCATATAGCTTGCAATGTTGTATGCATACCGACGCTGTCACGGCAGGTCGTGGTACTCATCCACATGCCATTAGGTTAGCATCATCCCATGCTGCGCCGGCACGATTTGCAAAAAATGGTAGCACTGTTGCTTTTACCTCTCTTGAATTCGCTGGACGACGTCGAGGTCATGCTCGAGTCTCTCGACTCGACTGCGAACGAAGAGCGCCATGAATGCCTCGGAAGGAAAGCGCAGCTTCGAACAAACCAGTATATTCGCTCTGTCACGCCGCCGTATATTGAAGTAGTTGCACGGGGGCGTCCGTAGCTAGAAGCGCATTCCCCTCTAAGAGGACGAAGGAAACATGCACAACGCATGCTTGCATCTGTTGACTCAAATGCTGTTCAACATTTAGTTGTCCACAAGCAGTTCTGTCAGATCACAATTTTGATTGGTCAACGAGCTTTCAAAATGCCACATTGAATTTTACGAAAATGAATCGGGAAAAAACTCGCAAGCGTTGTACTCGCGAGTATTTTTGAAGTTTGTGTGTTCATGTGCACGCTCCGAGTGCTTGAAAATTATGCGTGGATGATGGATGATACACATCTAATTCCGAAATGAGGACACTGATTGGCCAACACATAATGTAAAAATTGCAATTGTTATTCTTGACCAGGGCCTCTGCGAATTGAAATGACCAGTACCCTTGCTTTGCAAGCAAGGGCGGTCCGAGGATAACCACAGCGACATTTGGCGTAGTGATATGGGTAAGCAAGCGAAAGGTTAGCAGACCTTGTCAAAGTATCATGTCACTAGTATTTGATACATATGACCGAGCATGTCACAATATTTGGACAAAACTCGTACGCAGTATTTTTGCTGCTGTCCATGACCCCCGAGGGGTGTTAGTGCACATTGTTGAAGTATTTCTTACGGTCATTCCCAAAGCAATTCGGTGAAAATATGCAATTCTCCTAATGGGAGGACTGGTGCCACTGCGGGACACGAACCCGGGCCATCGGATGAACAGCCAGCGCAAAACCGTTTAGCCTATAAGTGACCTTGCAAACAACCTGATTTTTCATCTATACCTCAATGTCAGGACTACACCACTGCCCATTCGAAGTGGTCAAACCAGCAATCAATGTGGTACCGAAAATTAAAAATATTCGAACGTCGAAGTACATCTAGAAACATTTTCATTCAATGTGGTTTACACTTATTGTTAATCAATGCGGCCAACCTGTAATATCGAATTCGATCAAAACATGTATTGACAAAGGTTTTGCTTTTGGTGTGCGCGCCAAACTCATACACAATCAAAGATGCCAACAGAGGCCGAGAAAATCGTGTCTTGAGAGCGATACTTGACCGAAAAGAATGGAAAAAGGGCCTTTTACAATGGAGTCGCCTTGACGACAGCTCAATGTGTGATTCATGAGTCGACTGGCACCATTCCAGTCGACTCAGCTGGGGTGAAGCGCGCGCGTTGCTGATCAAGTTGTCACCAGAAATCGCCTCACGTCGTTGCACTGTCTAGTGTCCGTCCATGCAGCTAGTCGACTGGAGAACATGCACAATGGAGAGTAACCTTTGTCAATACAAGTTTTGATCGAATTCGATATTAC